ACTGTTAGTCTCTCAGTCTTGCACTTAACTATATCACTGGAAAACCAGTACCTGGGCTGCCTTCTCTTGAGCAATGTATCTGAAGACCAGAAATGTTGCTTGATGAATATTTCAGTACCTTATGCAAAGCAGCATGGGAAAAATCACTTAATTTATCTGGTATTTCATATCAAGACTCCTTTGATAAATTCCTGCTTGAACCAGTTCCAGATTCTTCTGTATCTCTGGCGTCTCCTGTAACTCTGCCCTTCTTTATCCCAGCATCCTTAGTTTGGTTGTCCCTCCTGTACTTCCTGCCTGACTCTCTGCCTGCCAGCTTTTAATTAACCCATGGGAGTAATGCATATTCACAGCGTACAGAAAGATTATTCCACAGCACAAGACATGGTGGCACTTATCTGTAATCTCAGCTACTAGAGCTGGAGAATCACAGGTTCTAGGTCAGCCTAGGCAACTTTGTGAGCCTCTGTCTCAAAACAAACAGTAGGGAAAACAGAAAGAAGGCTGGAGATATGGGTCAGTCGTAAGGTGCTTTCCTAGTATATATGATGCCATAGGCTCAATCCCCAGTACTGGATATAGTAAAGTAAGCTAAAGGTTGAACTGTCTTCTTCTCCTCCCTCTCTTCTTCCACCTCTCCTCCCCCTCCTCCTTCTCTTTTTGAGACAAGGTCTCACTTTATAATCTTCTCTGGCTTTGCTGTGTGCACCAAGTTGACCTTGAACTCACAGAGGTCTGCAAGCCTGTCTTGAGTGCTGGGATTAGAGAGGCGTGTGCCACTGTGCCCTGCTTACTTTACTTTGTTATCTTACTTTATTTGCAAACTCATGTGACGTTATCCTTCTGTTAAAATTTTGATTCTTATTGTATAATGGGAAAATACACACTTTAGTACATTGGAATTTTTCAGTTTCTTGTGACCTAAATCAAGATCTAGTTTGTGATTATTTGATGTCTACTAAAAGAAGGAATCTGTTTTTCTCTGTCTCTTTGTCACTTTATTTTCACATCTATGAAACTGGAAGACTTCTTTGACTTGTTATTTTTTTAATATTGTAAAAGTAAGGATCAAATTGAAAGTCATAAAAATACTCTTTCTCTCTTCAAACCCACAAGGAGTATATCTTGACATAAGTAAACATAAAAGGAAAGGAAATGAGGAAAAGGGAATATCTCTCCTCGAAACTCTGGGTAACAGGTGCTCAATTTTCTTAGGGGCACAATTCAAACTGACAGAGAGGGACTGGCCAGGGTGGTGCAGGAGCCACCTGCAGTGATGATTCTGATGTTTGTTCCCTTAGAGGCCACTGACGTTGGACATTAATCTAAGTGAAGCTATAACGTGGTCCTGAGAAGAACCACCGTGTGCTACCTCGGGTAATGGTCCTCCACTAGGTTGGTGGGTGGTGGTTCACTAGTCAGTTAGAGCCACTCGGGTTGCTTAGGAGGCAGTACAGAGAACGGTCCACAGTTGCACCGGAAGAGGAATTTGACGGTCATGGGCATCATCCTAGAGGTCTAAGTCATATCCTTAACCGATAGCCCCTAAAATTGTTTACTGTAAGGAGTCCAGCCTTCAACGCCAGCTTTAATTCTTATGCTGCTGCTGCTGCCCTCTTCTCTTCTGAGAACTCTCATCTCACCGTTGCCTCCCCACCTCCTGGACTGGGTCATCAACTTACCTTGTAGTCCCAATAAAATGTCAAGTATGTCTAGACACTACAAGTCACCAAAAAGTGCCTTAAACTTGAAAACAAACAAATAAACAATGTGAGTATTTATTGTGCTATTTCTTTTTCCTACCTGTGTAACAATTGTTGCAGCATATTGCTGGAAAAACCATGCCTCCTTTTCTCTCCAAGAAGGCAGGAATCCTCAGCCATTTGGAATCATGCAGAACCCCTTTACTTATTTGGGTGAAGGTAGCAATTATTGGTACCCCTTATCCACCTTTCTCCCTCCTACCCCAAGGACAACAGTTCCAGAGCTAAGGATACCGAGGAAGCCTCTGTGTAACTCAAGAATAGCAGTAGTAGGAGGTGGCCGTTCGCTGATTCACTGGTAATATTTTGGCTTCTATTAGGACAACAGAGTCCATCACATGTGATTGTCTGGTATATTGGAAACAGCATGAAATGAGAGGGACTTGGTTAAAATTTAGGTTTTACTCTGTATTGACAGTGAGATTTTAGCTGACATTGACGTTCCCGAATCTGCGAGTATTTGAAATGTTAAAAGAATTCCTACCACTTATATAAAGATACTGTCACTAAGATGGCGAGTGCCTGTCTAAAAACACTGGAGCACGTTGGCTACTGGCAACTGCACACACAGTCGGAAGGCTTTGAGGAGGGAGGTTTGTCACTGTTTGCTGATTGAAGTGTTGGTAAAGGATTCTTTTCTTACTCTCAATTACTATTTTTTTGGGGGGGGCGGTAAGCCAGGTATTATGGAACACACCTTTAATCCCACACTTAGAAGGTAGAGACCAGTGGATCTCTGTGAGTTCAAGGCCAGCCTGGTCTACAAATTGCAGGACAGTCAGGAATTTTACACAGAGAAACCCTGTCTCAAAAAACAAAATATCATAAAACAAAACAAAAAAAGAGTTGGTGGGGAAGAAATGGCTCAGCTGTTAAGAGCACATACAGCTCTTGCAAAAGACCTCAGTTTGGGTCTAAGCACCCACATCTGGTAGATCAAACTTCCTGTAACTCCAGATCCAGGGGATCAGATGACCTCATCTGGCCTTGTACAAAGATCTGTTTTCACGTGTAAAACACACACACACTGTTATTCTTTCGGTCCCTGCCCTGGCCACGCCCACTCCTTTTAACCCCTGACCTCGCCCGCCATTGCTCTCTCCCTGTGTTCTCTCCCAGTGTACACACGGGGCTCTGCCTCTCTCCTCCTCTCTCTCCCTTCTTCTCTTTCTCCTCTCTCTCTCTCTCTCTCTCTCTCTCTCTCTCTTCCTCTCTCTCTTTTCCTTTCTTTCTTTCTCTCCTTGTTAATAAATTCTTATATGGCTATTTCCTGTGTTTATATGTCTGTTACTGCCGCCACCGCCAGCGCAGCGCGGGCCCTCCCGCGCCGCTTTTTCTCATGGCGGGCTCCGCCAGCCCGCCCCAAGGGATATTTTTTAAGAATAAGACACACCCTACAAAATAATAAAAGAATTAGTAGCTGGGCAGTGGTGGCGAACGCCTTTAATCCCATTTAATCCCAGCACATAGTAGGCAGAGCCTTTAATCCCAGCACGCAGGAGGCAGAGGGGGCGGATCTCTGAGTTCGAAAGCAGCCTGGTCTACAGGAGCACGTTCCAGGACAGCTAGGACTGTTACACAGAGAAACCCTGTCTCAAAAAATAAAACACAACACAACAAAACAAAGCAGTTACATCCTTTTTGGTATATCATCCAATTAATTAAAAAAAATGAATTGCCGAGTTTATTAATCGCTTCATGTTTTAAGAGTAATTTGTGCATTTGTGCAAGTGTGTGTTTTTACTGGGCATGGAACCCAGGGTTTAGTTGCTCGAGTAAATTTTGACCTGCCTGCTATGTGCAAGGCTCTCATGGAGAGTTTGTGTTAAGAGTCAACAATTTATTTACTTAGATAACCTCTTGGATCATTTAAAGTACTTTTTTTTTTTTTTAAATCTGGGAGAGGGTGCCTCTTTTACCCACAGCAAACATGGCGGAGAAAGCTTTAAACTGACCTCTTGGTCCCTCAACAAAGATGGCTCCCACACTTCCTGCCCTTGCCCTCAACAAAGATGACTACAGTACTTCCTGTCTAGGGCTTTTGCCTGCAACAAAGATGGTGTTTATGGCACGGGTTCCCTAACACTTTGGATTCCGGTTGTAGTTTTTTTTTTTTTCTAAGATACGTGGTCGCAGACGTAAGTAACAGGAGTCCATCTTCTCCCGAAATCCCCGCGCTGTAGCGACGTCGCCCCGGCGCGGCTCTCTCGGCGCAGTTTGCTCTGGTCCCAGCTGGGCGAGGGTTTGGGTGGCGGGGCCGGGGGCCTGGGGTGGCTTTCCCGGTGAAGATCATTCCGCGGGTTCGTGTCCCCTGCACATCGCTGGTGTGACACAAGGACGGCTTTCAGCTGCCCCGACAGGGAGACCTCAAAAGTTCCGCAGGGAAGCACGCTGCGGGCTACGGACACTCCCCACCCCTCCCCCGCCCACCTGCCAGCTCAGGACTTTGCAGAGGCTGGTGGTGAAGGTTGGGATCGGGTGTCCCCCCGTCTGCGCTCCCTCCGTGGGTGTCTGAAGCCCTGCCAGCCGCCCATGTTTGCCCTTTCCTCCCCACCATGACCTTCACTGCCACCCCACTGCACACTAGCCACCTGCGCTCATTAAACGTCCATCTGTACTGTGGCCCAGGTTCTGGACTCTGACGATGTGTATAAGGCTTACTGTAAAAGGCACACAAATATTTTCTTGAAGGTGCTGGTCCTGCGGAGGGAGGACTTGTCTGTAAGAAAGATCCATAAGCTCGTTCTTACCTCTAGATTGTCCTCCCTGCCTCCCACCCCCCATGGCTGGTCAGGGTCTATAACTGTCCCTGGTCATTTTGGCAGCTCCTGAAGGATGGGTGCTGCCCTGATGGATGAAAGCAATATTAAATTAAAATCCGCTATGATTAAATGCTGTTCTATGATTCTCAGGGATTGCATTTTATGTGAGGTCTCAGATCTGTTTTCTGTCAGATGGATCTCTTACTGAAAAAGGAATTGAAATAGGGCCCCACAGTGTGGAAAGTAGAGATAGAAACAGATTCCTCATTGGTGTGGTTCATTATGTTTGGAAGTGTTTGAAGTTAACTTGACTTGGCTTAGCTGCCAAGGTAGAAAACACTGTGGCTTGACACTCTCTTAAGATGGGGAGATCTGACTGGCCTTAAGGTGCTTATTAATGATGTTATAGCAGCACTACCTTGAGGGGGTCCATGAGCATTCCCATACCCTGAGTGCTGATTTTGTTTCTTTCCAGGGAGGAATGGATGCCAGAGACAAGCAGGTACTCCGCTCGCTGCGCCTGGAGCTGGGTGCCGAGGTTTTGGTGGAGGGGCTGGTTCTGCAGTACCTCTACCAGGAGGGGATTCTGACAGAAAACCACGTTCAAGAAATCAAGGCTCAAACCACGGGCCTCAGAAAAACAATGCTGTTGTTGGATATCCTGCCTTCCAGGGGCCCCAAGGCATTTGACACCTTCCTAGATTCCCTGCAGGAATTCCCCTGGGTGCGAGAGAAGCTGGAGAAAGCAAGAAATGAAGCCGCGACTCAGCTGCCCGCCGCAGGTAGGCCTCAAAAGAAATCACTTCAAAATGGCTCGGGAATTGTCGCAACTCTGCCCTTTGGATTTGAGAGTTGGGTGTTTTAGGGGGGCGGGGGGCAGTGATTCCTGAACACAGACGAGGACGTTGGGCCGAAAGGGCATCCGGGGTCACAGTATGGAGGTGTTAGGAAACTCAAGGGAAGAGGGGAGAGTGAGCCAAGAGACTGAGAGGTTAAGGAGGGAGCCCAGAGACAGCTGAGATATGCTTCCTGGGAAGCCTGGCAAGTCACTCGGGAGGCTTGTTCTCATGGGAGAGCCAGGTCAGTGTGAGCCCTTTGGCAACAGGAGCTGTTTGGAAAGTGCAGATGGGAAAGCAGGCTTTGGCCTACTGATAACTGAGGTGTGGGGTGCCAAGCTGCCAGCTGGAGAAGGTCAGAGGACAGGGGAGACAGCCTCTAGGAAGGCACACCCTGCACCTGTCCCTCCAACCAGCCCCTGATGCCCAGGGGATTATTAGTTAGTTAGTTAGTTTGTTTTTAAAAAGGTTATTGGTTTAAAGTGGCCTTTGAAATTGCAGCTTTGTTCAGATACCTGGGGCATTTTGTTTTGCAAGGGCAGTCGTTTGGGGGTGTGAGGAGGAGGGGGAATTTCATTCTGCTTTTCAAGGAGAATTGGAAATTGTGGTTTTAAAAGAAACAGTTTGGTGCTGTGTGCGGGGAGCTGTGCTCATACCTCTTCCCTGTGAGTCCTCTAATGAAAGCTATTTTTACACAGATCAGCAAACAGAGGCCTGACCTAGAAAGGCTATTTTTTAAAAACAGGTTGATAAAGTCAACTTTAGCCTTTTTCTAGAGTTAAGAATTCAACATTTTCTGGGTTTTTGATACAGGGCCACTTAAGCCAGTGGTCTTCAGAATTTATTGTTCCTATTAAAAAAAAAATGACTGTAACAGAGCGCAGACCTTTAGTCTCAGCTCCCAGTGGGCGGTGTCAGGCGGATCTCTGTGAGTTCGAGGCCAGCCTGGTCTGCAGAGAGAATTCCAGGATAACCAGGGCTACATAGTGAGACGTGACTGTAACTATTTAAAAAACGCAAATGCTACCAGTTTTGCACCACAGGCCTCGTATTTTGAATGGTTTTGAGACCACATGTACTAAGCAATTATGACATATATTTGAGTATCTGACTAGTATGGGCATCCAGTTAATCTAGAAAGACCCGGTAAACATTTAAGTGGAAAACCTAAAAAAATCTGTATTCCTAACTTGTCCGAATTCCATGTCGTTTTGAAGCAGTGAAAATGCTGGCTTTTGAGGATCTCTAGAATTTTCAGCTTGGGTTGTCCTTAGAAAATGTCATATTTCATGTGCCTGAACACGACCAGGGTAAAATATCTCAGGCATTCCTACCACTTTGTTAAAAGCAGAATATATATATATATATATATATATATATATATATATATATATATATTTGTTATATTGATTTGTGCTTTCCTGGTATTCACTTAGAATACTGGTTCTCAACCTTCCCAATGCGGCGACCCTTCAATATAGTTCCTCACGTTGTGGTGACCCCCAACCATAAAATTATTTCCTTGCTACTTCATAACTTCAATTTTGCTACTGTTATGAATCGTAACGTGAATATCTGATATGCAGGATAACTGACTGATATGTGACCGCCAAAGGGTCGCGACCCACAGGTTGAGAACCACGGATGGAGCCGGCCTTCCTGGCTGCATGCCTTTGGAAATGGCAGACCAACCCCAAGCCTTTCTCTCTCAACACATTTAGTTTACTTATGTGATTATTTTGGGTTCTATAAATAGTTTTGTCGTGGATTGCCCTGGAAATGTGGCCCTCGTTTTTGTTTCTTCAGATTTATTCAGAGAGCAAGAGAGAATTAATAAAAGTGAGAGAGAAGCTGAGGGGAAAGTACTTCTGAAATATATTTATTTATGTGTGCGAGTGTTTTTCCTGCTTGCGTGATTGGGCCTGGCGTGAGCCTGCTGCCCACGGAGGGAAGAGGAGGGGGCCAGATCCCTTGGAACTGGAGTTGTAGACGGTCATGAGCTGTCGTGTGGTGGAAACCAGGTCCTCTACAAGAGCAGCCAGTGCTTTGACCTGCTGAGCCCTCTCTCTAGTCCTGAAAAGTCGCTTTTAAAGGAGAAGTAAAATAAATCAGTGTGTGGTGAGAAAAAAAGTTGAGCATATCTGTATAGAAGCTCAGAAAAACAGAGTTCCCGGGACAGTTAACTCTGTGGAGGTTAAACCGGAAGCTGGATTTTCTGTAGGACAAGTGAGCACTGTGAATTGTTCGTTTTATATTAACACTGATAGTGAAGAAGATTCTGCTGTTGGGGGTTTCATTTGTAGAGTTCTCAGGGACAGTTCCATAAACTCATATTAAAATATCACGGTGGTTAGATACTGACTCTTTTAAGTAACACTGAAGATTTAAGTCAGGCGCAGAGGCTAACCCTCCTCATCTGGCTTTAAGGAAAGTGACCCTCCGTTCATGGCTAGCTCTCTCTTTGCCTGGTGCTCGCAGATACGTGAGCTCTCAGCTACTGCGGCGGTGACCTGTCTGCCTGTCTGCCGCCAGGCTCCTCGCCATGATGGTCATGGGCTCTAGCCCTCTAGAGCTGTGAGCAAGCCCCAGTAAACTCCTTGTGGATAAGGAAAGCAAGTGACCCTGCAATTGCCTTTGGGAACCCCACCTTCCTAATTCTTACAAATGCGCCATGAGTCTGAGGTGCGTCATTCATTCTCTTCATTTGCAGTTTTCTAGCTCGGAAGAATCACTTTAAAAACCCATATTGATTATTGGAAATCTATTATGCCATAGGGCCTGGTGGTAAATGTGTATACCTATAAGTTTTGTGTGTGTGTATGTGTGTACGTGTGTGTGTATGTTTGTGTATGTGTGTACGTGTGTATGTGAGTGTATGTGTGTGTATTATGTGTATGTGTGTGTTTGTATGTGTGTATGTATGTTTGTATGTGCATGTATGTGTGTGTATGTGTATATGTGTGCATGTGTGTGTACGTGTGTATGTGAATGTGTGTATATGTGTATATATGTGTGTATGCATGTGTGTGTATGTGTGTGTACATGTGTATGTGGGTGCATGTGCATGTGTATATGCATGTGTATATATGTATGTGTATATGTGTGTATGTGTGCATACGTGTGTGTACATGTGGATGTGAGTGCATATGTGTGTATATGTGTGTGTATGTGTGTGTGTTTAGGACTGAGGATGGAAGAAATATATTTTAAAGGAGTTGATGCTTTCTGTTACTTAAGACATTAAATATTCTTAACTGTTTAATTTCATGGAACTATGATTGTAAAATTAAACTGAGGTTTAGTGAATTGGAAGCTTGTGTGGGTGTTGGTTTTTTTATTTTAGGGGTGTATTGTGGGGGGCTTAAAGCTACAGACCGTCATCAGAGCTGTTTGCCTTCTCACTTATGTTTCTGGAAAGAAAGCAAATGCAGGCAGAGGCCTATTTTCTGGGACCTCATGTGGTTTTTCTCATGTGGTGTCAGAACAGCCTGAGCGGGCTTTGCTTCTTGGGCCAGGCGTGGCGGCGCACGCACGCCCTCAAGCCTAGCACTAGGGAGGCAGAGGCAGGTTGATCTCCGTGAGTTTGAGGCCAGCTCAGTCTACAAAGCAAGTTCCAGGACAGCTAGAGCTACACGGAGAAACCCTGTCTCGAAAAACAAACAAACAAAACAAAAAAACCAAGCCAAAACAAAAAGGCGTCTTGGATTCTGAGAACTAGATTCAAGGAAAATAGGGTGTTGTAACACAGTGGCTATTTCTTACTTTCCCTCACGTTGGCTGTGCTTGTTCTCAGAGAACGGGTTTGGTGCCCTGCCCTTGAGAAGCCTGGAGAAAGGACGGGACGGACTCGCTTTCTCTTAGCCTAGCGGGTGATCCTTCCCCAAGAATGACCTGACTTTATTTTTGCAACAGTGTTTGGCTTTCTTCCTCTGGCAGTCTTGGCTTTCTCCTTCTTCGTGTATTTCAATTCTGTGTTTCACTTCTACATTTTTGAGCTGCGCCAGGCATTCGTGTGTGTGTGTGTGTGTGTGTGTGTGTGTGTGTGTGTTAGTTATTTGTCTTTGTATATATGCTGAATGTAAGTTTTTAGAGCAAATTTGAGTTGTGTCTCATTCTCTACCCCTCTAACTTCCAGCCCTCAGCAAGTCCTCAAACATAGCAAAAGACTACCCCGGAATCTTCTGATTGTATCTCTGAATTTTCTCAGGTCTCCCCATCTCTATTTAAAAAACAAAACAACAACAACAACAACAAAAAGTAGAAAAGTCCGAGATGTAAGAGGATAACTGGTTTGTGTTTCCTCACCCCACAAGCACTCTTACCTTTCAAAAGAATTCTGCCGCTAAAATGGCTTGAGCCATCTTGGCACGGCAGAAGGAACACTTCTCAGGGCGTCGTTACTGTGGCCAAGGTCACACACTAGACATTAGATCAGCAGGAAGTCTTCTCTGGACCCTTGCTGGGTCACTTTAGGAGACACCGACAGCTCTGGGTGTGGCGAGGGCAGCCTGTGGCTGGTGGCCTGGCTTCCCCTCCTGGGGGGCCTGTCCGCCCAGCAGCTCTCTCTAGCGCCTGAGCTAATCTGGCTTGGGAAAGGAGCTGTTCCTGAAGCCCTGGCCCGGCTATCTGATGGGACCTGGTGTAAGCATGGTGGACCGGCTGCTGGGCCACAGGACCCTCTCTTCTGTCTTGTTTGCCCCGGACTGGCTGCTGGACTCTATCTGTGCCATGGTTCTCTCTTATACAGTCTTCCCGATAGCTCCGCCTTGCCATGGTTCTCTCTTATACAGTCTTCCCGGTAGCTCCGCCTTTCCCCTCATCTTCCTTCCAGCTTGGGCTTTGTTTTTTCTCTCCTTCATCAACCAGATTCCTGTTGTATTCTGGCCACTAGTAAGACGGAAACCATAGCTCTGCCTCCTGCCTAGGTCCTCAGCCTGGTTCAGTGG